GTTAGATTAGGTGTTCCATCAAGACGTGGCATCGACCCTCGATGGCAGTGATGAGTAGTGAGATGATATACCAATAGTCCCAAACGCGATGGCAGTCGGCGTCCATCCTATGTCATCGGACCTGTCGTTTCCTAGGCCCGTCTCATTGCCTCCCCTGGTCGTACCCCCTGTCGGCTGCGAATCGAAGCTGGTGGTGCTGCGGCTGTTCGGGATAGCAGTGGGCAGAGTCTTGGTCGAGCTTGATGATTCAGTAGTAGTGCTGATGGAGGAAGAAAATGGAGTAGCTCCGGTCTCTCCACGTTGCGGGCCGCGCGGAGGCTCAGTCGGTCTCGGGAATTCAGTGGACGTGGGCGACGGGGAATCGCTCGATGTGCTGCTCTCCGTATCCGTCGGGTTGGCGGGGTTGAGAACGGCAGGCGGAGCCACTCCAACCGCTGGTGGCGGAGGGGGCGCCGTTGGTCTCGCGCCGGGTGGGAACGTGGTGCTCTTGGGCGAGGGAGAATCTTCGTCGTCGGATGAGATTTCGCCCTTGTCATCGCGGACCTCAATCTGCAGATCGTCTCTGATGTATCTCGGGCGGCGAATAGCGCGCCTATGCGGTTACTTAGTCTCGCTATTACTTATTCGTGCTTTCAGAATTAACAACCTACCTCCTCAGAGTGCCCATGGGAGAGACCATTTTGAGTTTGGTAATGAGTAAACAGTTAGGTTGAGTTGTTGATTGTTGATCAAGTGCTAATAAATCCGAGTCTACGGTCGAGGGAAAAGTCACAAAGGTATGAAACTAGGTCGTCGAGACACAGATTTGATGAAGCAGCGCAGCTGAGAGGGAGATCGAATGGAAAAGAAAAGGGCACTGCCCGCGAAGAGAAGGTAGAGAAGGTGAAGAAGGCGACGAAGAGAAACTTGCGAATTCGAGAAAGAAGCTTCAAGTCATCTTGGCCTTGTATCGAAAGGAGGGGGGAAGAGTGACGTTCCCAGAGTAGTTGGTTGCCGAACGACGTGAAGGGTAAACGTACAGAAAAACCTCCAAGAGGGCTTCGAAAAGGAAGAAACAGGGACGTCTTTACTTTTTGGTCTCGTCTTTTCCATCCACCCTTGCAACGTTGCCAGCTCCTCTGGGCCTGTCTAGAGCCCGTGCAGCCGCTGTCTTGTCCATGTCATTGCGTCAGGAAGCGCTGTTGCTGCGAACACCCACACCACCCATTCACTGTGCTATCCCTGGCTTTGGGGGGCATTGGGGCAGTCTGTCTGCGCGAAGTTGGGATTGTCTGCCTTTCCTCTGCTCCTCTCCGTGTGGGTTGAGGTTACTTGGCGGAGGAGACTGGAGGAGTTGCCCGCAACCTTTCCAACTCTTGCCTGTCGCCAAGAGACGAACAATGCGGACAAGTGCAACCGAGGGGACAGCACGAGGCAAGAAGAGGCGAGTAATGGAACACTGGCGCCGATGTTTCTCAGTTTCAGACTTGCCTGCCAAGAGGTCCGAAAACAACTTCGTGCGACAAACCCTCCGCCCTTCCCCTTGCTCTCCTTACAACCTCAAGCCACTTGCGTGCCACGCAGCTACGCTACCCTACCATTTCTCGCATTCCTCAGCCAAGGGCTCAGGGTTCTAGGGGGGCCCGGTCCCCGTCTCTCCCGCCAAGACGTCCCGCTGTCTGCCGTCTTTCCGGCCCCCGATTCGCCAGCTTCCTCTCAAAGTCTCCAGCGGCTTCGAAGCCGATGTGGGCGGCCCGGCCGGGACCACTTCCTCGATTCCTCTTAGTCTCCCATTGTCCTCCTCCCCGATTGAGGCTGGAGGGAGGCTCAGTTCTCCTCTCTTCAGTCTCTCAGAGACTGTCGTCTTCGACGTGACCAGGGGTGATGTTTAGTCAACATTCAACACCGACATGGTTCCTTCGCCAAAGGTGAGAACCGCATCGTTTCAGAATGTCTTTCGTCCCCGCCCACGCCGTGGCCGCCAGCGCCTGAAAGATCAGATCGGCCGTCCCGGATTGAGCTTTTCTTGGTGACGGGGGATTGCACGTCAAACGGCCCCTTTCGCCCTCAAGGTCCGCCAATCAATCTCGCAAGCCTACTACTTCAGGTCCATTTGAGGTCTTTCAGACTGGAAGAGTGGAAGAAAACCCTCCGCATTTCGATTGTTAGCGAGTCACGTATCCAGGGTGTGCTGGTTGGACTTGAGGGCGCGGAGACCAGATCGGGGAACCTAAGTTCCTGCCCAGGGAGGATGATGGCAAGGTCGAACTCTTCCAGCCAAGAAGACCAACCTGCAAACGCCAAGTTTATTTGACAAATTGACGCGCCAATGCACAAAGGACTGAAGGAGAGAGCTGCCCTCGAAGCTGGGGCGAAAGCTCAAACCAGGCTTTGATCAACCGAAATTCCACAGACCATTGGCTACCCCGTTCAATGTAGTTCGAACGAACTCACCCCCTAGAACTCTGCTCTACTATTGTCAAACCTTCCGATGTCCGCTTGCTTTTCGTTGACACCTTGCGATTGAACTCCAATTGTTGATGATCGAGAAGGATAATTCATTCTTTCTGCCGTTTGTCGATCTTGTTCGTTTGCGCGTTCTCAAACAGCGCCACCCGCTGTGCAATTCGTGGGGTTTCCGCTGCACAACGCAAACGCGCATTAGCCAGCCCGGGGATCTACAGTTTGAACTACGAGCGGTCCTCCTCCTGCTGGCGGCCGCGTTGCACCATTGAAGGAGAGGGAACGGAGGATTAATAACCATAAGGCTCTCGCCCCTGAATGAGGTTCTTGTCAGTTCCCTTTACGCGTTGCACTGGCTTCATTTACTCGATTCCGCTAGCATTGCTTGACGTCGTCCGGAGTGTCCTTCCACGGGGAGATAGACAGCTTGTCATGAACTTGAGACGTTGGTGGGCAAAAGTCCCGTCGAGCTCGAAAGCTTGGCCTTTCCCGACTGCGCAGTGCTCGAAAGGGGCGCGGCAGTGAGTGGGCTCTTTTTCAATCTACAGGTGAGGCAACCTTAAATGCCTGCCGCGAGTCAATCCCACCGGATATCTCGTAATACTGGGCCCTGCGGACTTGTAGGGGGCGGTTAGCGCTCGGGCGATGCAATTTCCAGCATGGTCGGCCGGTCACTTCATCTCGCCATCTAAGCTTAAACGCCCGTTGATATTGATCAACAGACTTTCGACTAGGAGTCGCGCGCCCACATACCGGAACGTCGTGAAGCCGGTAGATGATAGAATGGTATAGTGCGCAACATTCAATGCTCTTGATCTGCAAAAATAGTCTCGCGATTCAGATGGTCGTCAAGCATATTCCGTCGAACTGCCCAAATGCTGCCTGCTTTTTGACTGGGAGGGTTTATTCTCTTAGCTACTTTAGTATCTGCGAGGAAGGCGGCAATGGACCATACCCTTTGGGGTCTCACCTAGAAGAAAGATCTGGTCCGGCCAGGACAGCAGGTTACTTGGTTACCGAAGGTGATCTGCTAGTGACGATTCGCCTACTCCGCTTATTATCTTTTTGTATGAGTGCAATACGAAGCGTCTGAGTTCTTACATGATGGCTTGCGGGCGTGTCTACAAAGCCACTGTAACTGTTGCTTCTGTCTTAAGCTCCGAATGTGATACGACAACTTGTTATCACACTACGTTCACCTTTTGTGAACTTGGCCAACTTGGACTGTCTGCAAATGTTGAGTTCTGGCTATGAAAGCGCTCGAGTACATAGTCAATAGGGAAAACGTGCGAGCCTCGAATTTAACCTCAATCAGCCGCATACTAATGAACAGAGATTTCAAAGGATGAGATGATTTTAAATGCAAGAATTGGAATCGGCTAACGGCTTACGTCTCCATTCTTATCTATCGGTATGAAATTCTTATAGAGACATTCTCAAAGGATCCCGAAACCCAAGCGCGGGATACGATGACGCATGGTCGTCAGGTCAAAGTCGAGATCGTTCTTTGGTCTTAAGTACGGTGCTCGCTAAGACACCCGAGCTCCACGAGTCTGAGAACACAAGATCATCTTCTAAAGGTATCACACCGAAAGCGAAGGGCGACACCTACGAAGGGTTGATTGCACGCTATGGGTCAACCAAAGAAAACCCTGTGGGAATACATACGTCGCTTCTGGAAGCCCTGCCAGAGTTGTTTCAGAACGCCACCAATTCCATGGCCAGCATACCTTCTCTTCGGTCAAGACTACTCTTCACTATTTCCTACCTTACGTTGATGTACTGCAGTGCTGACTGACCATGCAATAGATACAATTCTTCCAATCCCAGCAGTCCTGCAGAAGTTCTAGTGACTTCTGCCTTGTGCAGTAACGTCTACGTTTACGTCTACGCGCCCAAAAAGCTCTGGCTACTATATGGACTTATTATCGGTGCCACAGTGATTGCGGTAGTGACGGGACTGCGGTCCACGTTGACTTTCGGAGCCTCGTTTACTTCCAACTTTTCGACGATACTGCAGGTGGCGAGGAATATTGATTTTAAAGCGGAAATTATTGAGACAGGGGTTGCAGGACAGGATGCGCCGCCGAAAGAGTTAAGTCGAGCGACGGTTAGGTTATGCCGAGAGATGAAGTCGACCACAAGAGTACGAGCGCATACAGTATCGTAGAGCAAGGTCTTGATGACGATGCGAGAGCCAGCTGGGGGGTTGAAGAGATATCGGCCTTGAGAGATTCAGATAGTGCAATGTTTCAGCTTAACGATGGAGATGGTGCAGATGACTGGGGAAGCCAAACTGGGGATGTCATAAACGGCCTAGGCCAAAGTCATGCCGAAATACAGGCTGGGAGTGTAGGCTGATCAAGTGATAGGCACCGAGTGATTTGAGGGAAAGGAGTTACGGAGGGCATCATGTCAGTGCTTGGGTCCTACGTAGGAAAATCGTCCATCACTGGCGTCTCCACGTAGCATGCACGAATAGGACGCATAGCTTACACGAATGTTTGCGTTTACCTCATTGAATGCTGCACAAGTAGTAATAAGCTTTCGTAAGACCATGGTAAGATTAAGGGTATTGTAGATCAAGATTCATCGTGACCAACCAAAAACGTGAGCCAGTCTTTTACATGTCTATGTGGTTACTGATATTGTCCTATAGCTTGTGACTGATGCATCATGCTGTTGGCATAGTGCCTAAGTAAGCAAGTGTCAGGGGGTAGTTGAGGCTTTGGATGTAGTCTGGTTGATATGAAGTAATTACCCTCAGGATGTGATTCCGTCTGGACTTTCACAGCATACCTGCATACATTTATGATTTACGTCGTGACTGAGGCTAACTGTACCTATGTGTACATTTAAGTGGTCTTCGATGCTGTGAGAATATCTAGAACAACTCGTAGCTGAGTCATCGATACAGGCTCCTTTGCTTTACGTGCCATGAGTATGCCTGACTTGAGAGCATTCTTAATCTCTCTTCCATTGACATCAACCTCTGCCAATGACTGGAAGTCAGCCTCGACAAGACCGTGCTGGATCTTGTTCTCCTTCAACAGATTCTCCCACAGGCTCTTGCGGGCCTCGACAGTCAGCCCTGGAAGTCGGATGTTGATGTGAATGCGCGATTTGATTGCTTCATCAATAACCGCGGCGCGATTTGTGGTGATGATCAGAGTACCGGAATAGTATTCTAGAAGTTGGAGGAAGACTTAAACAATGTCAGCTCTCAAAGTGTGGTGTTTGCAAAGTCCCTTGTTGGTTTTGAACCAACTTACTAGAGACCAATCTATTGCGGTGAAGATCAGACGTCGTCCTCTTCTCAAGGAAGACATCACCCTCATCAAGTAGTAGTACGGCATCCCACTTAGACGCAATGTCTAAAACTAGCTTCAGCCTGGCCTCCAGCTCTTCGGCATCGAATCCCAGTTGGCCAGCGCTGACTGCGTATAAAGGAGCGCGCATCTTTTCGGCCACTGGAGATACTGTCAGCTGAATCGCGTGATATTGAACAGAACAAGAGCCTTTGGCAGCTTACCGACTTCGGCCGTCAGAGTCTTGCCAACACCTGTGTCGCCACTGAGGAGGAGAACCAAGCCCTGGCCTGGTCATAATTAGTCTTGCATCCTTCAATCTTCACCTGGATGAAAAGCCTTTCATACCCTTCTGCTCGATGAAATCGTCAAAGCCATCTTCGGCAAGCATCTGCTCCTCGACTAGAGATAGCAAGAGATCTTTGTACCCATTGGGGAGGATGAGGTTTGATGCGCAGGTGTCGTTCCATTCAATTTCGCCAACATCATCTACAGTGAACTTGGCTTCAAAGTCTCGTCAATTCGGATTTCTTTGGCACGCTTGATAAGCGACACTCACCCCAAGCCTTCGATTTCAAGGAGTACCCCCGAACTGTACTTCCACACAATAGGAACTCGCTATCCCTGACTAATTTGAAAGATCTTGCAAATGAAGTCACGTCGTTTTGGTCTGAGCTCAAGGGTCTCAGAAACACAGCCTTAGCAGGGTTATTGTCGTCGAATGTCTCGGGGTCAATAATGATACGCCCGGTTGACTGCCGAATATCTTAGTATTGAACAAGGTAGGAAATGGGATCAGGACGGGTGACTAGTATACCTTTCTGGGCTGCCAAGCATCTTTGCGCCCAATATACCACTCTTGACCGTTGCACTTCTTGTGATGGAAGCCAGAGAGCTCTGCAAAGCGCCGTCCTCGACGAACCAGAATTTCTTTGATCCCATCTGCCTCTGGGTTGTACTTGAGAGGACTGACGGGTAAGCTTGCGATTGACGCTGCGTTCTTGAAGCAAGGTATATCCAAGCATGTGCCTGCAAGTCCAAAAGTCTTGCCATCCGTGTCGATGAAGTCGCATTTGAGCCGGTAACCCTCTTTCGAGTATGCACCATTCCGAGCTTTAACAGCAACAGGCTGTCCTAATTCGTCTGCGGAGAGACAGACTTCGCTACGGGGAAAGATTGTCCAGAGAAGAGGATATGTGATCAAGCTATTAGACAGGAGGTCGTTGACCTCATCGAAGAAGTCGCCCAGTTCTGAGGACAAGATTTCGTAAAGCAACTTGAAATGCTGCAACTCTTCCTTGTCTTCTGACTTCTTAGACATTTCTGTCATCGCTGCCCATCGGTGAAAGACGTTCTCAAAAGGCCTCTCGAGAACGAAATCTCTAGAAGTGATGGCTGAACTAGTGCCATGGAGGACGTCTCGCAAGGTGTCCTTCAACTGCTCGCTATGCACCAAGATGGAATGCAAGGATAGCGACTTTTCCTTTTCATGATCTCGGTTGCGGCGGACTGTGATGACTGTGCCGGTCGCAGCCTCTTTCTTCTTCTCTGGTTCTTCTTCAACCCAGTTGATGCAGCAGTTGCATTCCTTCTTGCCTTCATAAAGGTTTTGAACGGCTTTCCTGATGGGCTCATCGTCTGCGCTGAGCTTGGAGTCGCCATCAGAGTCATCATCTGTGTCTTGTTGGGCGGAGGAGTCGGACTCTGGAATATTCTCTGTACTGGTTTCTGACTTTCGTTTCGCAACTGCGGTTTCGAGCTTGTTGTTGGGTTTCAGGGTGCTCAGGAGCGGCTCGTCACCTACAGGCTTGGATTCTGCCATCGTATTCTCTAAATATTTTCAAACAAAGTTATGTGTTGTCGGTTCCTGCATTTGAAAAACGAATTGTGCAGGAAGCTGCTGGAGAGCCGTGCCCTTTCTCAACGATCTCTTAAGAGTCCCTCCGATTCATTCGAGATTAGGCTGACATACGCGCCCATGATGGCGAATTGGCATTGATGCCGCCAGCTGCTTGTTTACTCTGCATTGATACGGGGACTGAGCCACCGTATAACATCGCCGTGGCGAGGAAAACAGAGAAGTTTCTCTTTTGCTCAAGTTTCATTGGCTTACGAATGGCCATGTTGTGAATGTGGCGACAGCTTGCAGTAGTGCGTTTTCGTCACAGGCAGCCATTTGCTTCTAGTCATGCGAAAGAATGCATGTCAGACGTGGCAAGGCAGACAGTTGAGCACTCAGCCACAAGCTTGCCTACACAAACTTGGTTTTTTGAAGATCGCGACTGTCGGCTTCAGCTACCCAACATGAGCTTCTGGGCTCCTGTTGATTGTACGGATATGAAACTCTTGGTGCCTATCGACGTCAAAGCTCCAAAGTCTTGCCTCTTATTCACCTCATTTCAAATTTTTAGCTTTCCTGGGCCAAGCCCGCAGTGAACTAGCATCTCAACTAGCAAGACATTAGGATTTTGACTTTATTCAACTTAATCTCAATCATCATGTCGTCTTCACCGAACGTAGCCGCGAACAGCCTTCCGTTTTTACATTATGCGCCGCTGAAATGCGAGAGGTCAATTCGCATAGTCATTTTGAGTCCGTCAACTGAGTTGGATGATCCAATTCAATGCGAGTTGAGAGAGGTACGACTCGGAAGCTCGTCGCAGCAGACAACACCATATGAAGCGCTCTCGTACGTCTGGGGAGGGAGACGTGGCGAGTACCCGATTCATTGCAACGGTTGCCGCGTTGAAGTCACGAAGAACTGTTTAGGGGCTTTGCGTCATTTGCGGTATCCCAATCGAGAACGTGTGCTCTGGATTGATGCAATCTGTATCGACCAGTCCAGTATTCCGGAGAAAAACGTCCAGGTGGCGTTAATGGGAGACGTTTACAGATTCGCCGCGCGCACAATTGTTTGGATTGGTACGGATGAGTCCCCCGATAACTTACTGCTCCTCTTGTTTCGACGATGCAGATGGGTGGGACTCTTGCTGAGAGCTTCACCGGAAGCAGAGCGCTCGACACCGCGACGTGAGTTATACCTCTTACGCACAACCTTGCGGAACCAACCGTGAAGGCCACGCATGACATGTTTGCTCTTAGAGCTTAGACTTATACGTATGCAGTCCCAAGCAGGAATGTCTTGAAGGCCATCGAGCTTCTAACCAAGGTCCCTTGGTTTACAAGGACATGGACGCTGCAAGAACTGTGCTTATCTGAGCATGTGGTTATCACGCTAGGAAAGTCTTCCCTTTCTTGGGAATCTTTGAATGCGTGTCTCAAGCACTGGACCACTCTCGCGGGTCGCAAATTTGGGCACCGAACAAGCGAGTTTGATCTAGTCAATCTGGCAGACAGCTTTGGGATGAAGATGAATTATCGTTCAGCCTTACTTGGAGAGAAGCACGAAAACTCGGATATCCCAAAGCTGGCCTCTGCATATCTCGCAACCCGGTTGATAAAGACGATCAGAAGGAGAAACGCAATGGACAAACGCGACCAGAGCTTTTCCCTCCATAACCTTCTCGGAAGACTCGGTATCAGTGTGCCGAATCCGGATTACACGAAACCCGTCACCAGAGTATATGAGGACCTCGCATTGGCCCTCTGCCTTCATTCGGGTTCATTTTGGGTTTTGCATATGGGGTCTAGCGAAAACAAAGTAAACGGACTGCCGTCGTGGGTCCCAGATTTCAGCGAAGTCAGTCCCGGAGGTTTTAAAGATCAGTGGGACTTGCTTTCGAATCCTCCAGCGATTATTGCTGAAGAAGTCTTGGCAATTGGAGTTTTACAAAGTGGCCGCAACACTGAACAATTATTAATTAGGGCTCGGCGACTGCCGCCTGTGACGATGACGAGCGGATCCCGTATACCAAACGCACGGTACCTTTCCACGACTGTAAACTATGGCGAAGATATCAAAAACCTAGTTCTGCCCGCAGTAGCTAGGTGGTTCCTCTTTGCTGAGAGCCTGGAGTTCTTTCCCTCTCGAAGACGTGGGGCTGAAGCCTTGCTTGCTCTCATTGCGAGTTTAGTAACCAAAAAGACAAACGATGATGAATTCAGACCCAAGGCGGATATCACACAGACTTGGTGGGCAAACTTCTACAGAGGACTCATGATGGGTTTCACTACCGAAGGACAACGGTCGACAACGAAACTCCTCAAGTCCGGTTCTCGGCGTGGACGATGCGGGAGCGCACACAGAGGCTGCGAGGGACCCAATGCACAGTCCATTGGCTGGTCAATGATGAACGAGAATATGACAGACATTGACACAACGTCTAGCGTCTTGCTGGCTTGTCAGGGCCTGAGTCTCTGCCTGGTTGGCCAGGGCATGCTCGCAGTGTGCGACGGCCAAGTCCAAACCGGTGACGTGCCAGTAGTCGGGGCCGGGTTAATGGAAGAGCTGATTCTCCGACCACGAGGCGAGGAGTTCGAAGTGGTCGGAACTGCTCGTATCCTGAACTTCGAGGATGACGAAATCCCAAAGCCGTTTTCTGGCTTGGACGATGACAGGTTGGAGACTTTGACTTTAGTCTAGGGGGCCGCTGTCGATTAAGCCCTGCTTCCCCCCTCCCCCGCCATGGGCTGATCATTTCACGGATCGGAATTAGACCATATAAATGCCCTGTTTAAGGAAACAAAGCCTGTGCGAGTTGTGAAACGAAAACGAGAGAGAGTTGAGACGGTCCGGGTAGAGTCAAGGTTGTATCAACATTGAATCGGGAAACTCATTCGATGACATGACATGGGGGAGTCCGAGCTGATAATGCTTGACTCGGCGATATCCCTTCACGTCTAAATCGTGGTTTCTAACTGTTCTATAGTACCTAACTTGATATTACATACGGAATTCAACATGAAGAATGCATGAACGTGGGAGCATTTGGTAGATTATCAGGTCGCCAAGGGCTGCAGCCAAGCAGTGGTCGTTGCATTGTTGAGCCGGCGATATGGATGCAATTTCGTCTTGAAAACCGACCCGGTGGGAGTAGGGCGATAACGTATCCAGCATATCCAACTCGAGTGGTCTGAATCGTCTGGACTTTCGGTACCTGAAACTAGAACTCGAACTAAGTTGCTTCTTTAGGGAACCGATATGAAATGTATGTGGCTCGCATTACCAAATCGCGCAGCTCGCCGGCCATCAGAACGCCATACCAATGGCTTCATCTTGCACAACCTCCTACAACCTTGGCCCTGTTGATAGGAGACAGCCTGTAGGAAATAACGCTCCGCTCACATCGTGGATGTCGCTGCTCCCACACCAAAAGTCAAGACCGTCTCAACTTTGCCTCATGAGAGAGCCGGCAGTCCCAAATTTCAGGCTAGGCTCATTGGTGACATCGGGACCTGCGGCATCCAAGTCGCTTTGGGACGGGCCTGGCCCCGCCATCACCTCCCTCCCTTCCGCATTATATGGACGTTGTAGTCGTGTCCAAACCTCATTCACAGATTCCTTGCCCACCTACTATCCGTCACCTCATAATCCAAACCCACCGAGCTGGAACGATCTGAAGTTCCTCCTCGTTTGTCTGCTCCCTCCTTCCCACCACACTCTCTTTAATCTTGAAGGAAGCAGAACTTCAATCCTTTCCGTCCCAGGAGACGAGCTTCCGGCAGGCTCACGATGTTACTGCGTTCTCTGTTGTCTTTTACCTTTGCTGCGGTCACAGTTCTCGCCGCTCCTGTCTCTATACAACATGCCAAGTACAAGCGCGACCTGGCAACGATTCAAGCAGCTCTGAACACCATCAACTCTGCGCTTCAAGGTCTCGATAACTCCGTGAAAGCCACTAACACGGTCACCCTCGGAGGCGGAATCCAGCTCTTGAACGCCGTCGGCAACGTAAAGAGCTCCATCGAGGACGCCACGACCCAGGTCCAAGGATCCGAAGTTCTCAACAAAAAGGATGCGCTCAACCTCAAGGCTGCTACGGACGCTCTCACAAACAACGTCAAGGTCACCATCAATGATGTTGTAGCGAAGAAGTCTCTGGTTGACTCTCTAGGTGCAACACCGCTGGTGGCTGTTGCTCTTCAGGATCAAAAGTCTGCTAGTGTCGCCCTCGCCCAGGCTCTCGTTAGCAAGGTCCCTCCCGAACTTAATGGCGATGCGCAAAAAAGCGCGACGGCTCTCAGCACCGTTCTTGACCAAGGCATCGGCGTCTTTGGTGGCACTTCTGTCGCGCCTCTTCCCGCCGCACCTCCTCCGGGTCCACCGGCCGCCCCTCCCGGTGCCACGACTGTTTGTCAAGCCGTTATGCCGGACGGGACTGCCGTTGGACTAGCGACTGCTATCGACAATCCCCCGCCTCCTCCTCCTGCTGCTGCTGCCCCGGAGGCTCCAGCAGAAGCTCCAGCGGCGGGACCAGGTGGTGGAGGAGGACTTCTGGGTGGACTCATGGGATTGCTCGGCCTTAGGAAGCATTAAAGCAAGAATAGGAATGTGTACGATCAAGCAGGAGTTTGGACATGGGCGCGGAGATGTATTGCGGCAGGGTCCGTCACGAACATGCTAAGCGGCTGTCATATGAAAAATTGGAGAATCTCTCTCGAAATTAATATACCTTGAACTTCAGAGAGACAAATTTTTGTTCAATCGAGTCCGTAGAACACTCTTATGTCCTCTTTTACGACTCTACTCTTACATGTGGTACTGGCCGTTGCATCCCTGGAGTACAACACATAGGCTATGTCGGAAAGATGTGGCAAGATCAATAGTAGAAACATTTGAAACATCTCATAGGATCAGTAACTCTAAACACTCCCGTCCATCCGGTAGAGATTCACGAAAAGGTTTGCCTTGCGCGTAACGGCATAAGGATTCATACACTGACTTGGATTACTATATACAATAATTGGCAAATATGTACTGGAACTTCATCATACCGCTGTCATTCCAGCAACCGAGCTGATCCCGCTAATATCCTTTTCCGGTTTCACACTACATGTACTGTCTAGATTCATACTCATAAGCCCTCTATTTCAAGGGGTTCCCCTCCCGCTCCTGTGCTGTAAACTTTTGTACTGATGACCGTCGAGCAAGAGGCCGTCCCTCGTAAGGGCCGAGACCTTCCCGATCAAGACTCAGTGGAATCTCTCCAGACGTTGCCTGACTTTCTGGTCGCAAAGGTGTCCTCGCATCTTCTGGGTCCGTATATCTGCTGAACCGCGACTGAATGAACAGCGGCTGTGCTACACCATAATGACTGACTGGTGGTGTTTGGAAAGGATTGTCTCTGAACTCGGGCTGACCGACTTCGACCTCGTTCAAATACGGTGCGGCGGCAGCAGACCTGCGCACTGACATCATCCGAGAGATGCCACCGCCAGCAGACCTCATAGAGCCACGCATGGACCTGACAGACCCACGGATCGATCTGACACGGCTGTATGCTTCTGGTCTGGGCGGTAGTACGACAGGCTTCTCGCCGTTCATACGTCTTGTGCTGAAGGCGACAATGGTGCGACCAGAGCCATCTCTGCCCAGGCCGGAAGAGTCGACGACTTCATACGGGTGGCCCAGTCCGGCCAGCTCATCTTCGATTTCTTCTCTGGTGAGGAGTGCAGCCTCGTAGTCTTCTTCACCAGGCTTCGGCTTCCTGGAGTAGTCTCCCGGGCCCTTCGACCCATTGGGGACGTGGAATAAAAGATCAATGCGGGCAACTGCATAGAAAACCACAACGAAAATCTCCAACATGAAACCGGTGGTGTAAAACACTTCTTTGCTAAAGAGTTTGTTTGGTGTATTGGGTGGCTCAGCCATTAGAGTCGCCGCGAGACGCACCGCGTGACCACCAATAAGCAAGATGGCGCCAATGAAGAGGACGGCAATCTTCTGGTGAGTATCACCTTGCCCGAATCTCTCGGGTCTAGGTCCCGGAATTACTGCTGCGATGATGACGATGATGACTGGTAGGACTGCGAGAAGCATGATCCATGAGACACCAGCTTTGAGGACATTAAGTGCCGTGTCGACGCGGTCTTGATCCTCAATCTTGAAGAATGAGACGCCAATTGACGTACTGTTCGAGACAACCACGGCCGGGACCGAGAAGAGGAAGAAAAGGATGAAGACCCGGAAGGCGGGGTGCCATCCAAAGTGAGGATGGATTGACCGAACAATTCTTTGAGCAAAGAAGATATTGACCACCATCACCACGACAGCTCTGTAATGAAATCAGCAATAGTACTTTGAGTGTGGAAATTCGATGAAGGACCTACCCTCCGAATTGGACGATTAGTGCGACGAGGATTACTACTCGGCCCTTCTCAAAAGCCCAGACAATTCTCATAATACAAGTGACAGTTCTGACCATGCAGAAGTCGAACATGAGATCCGATAGCAAAAACTTGTGACCGCGTTTGGCATTGGCTCGGTAGATCCTAATGTGCGTGTACGCACCAGCCGCGAAGAGCAGCAGGAAGAGGAAAGTGACCGGAACATCGATGTTAGTCGTGGGATCGCCGCCGATGAAAGCACCTTGAGCGGGATCAACGAGTCTCTCGGTTGGAGGCTGGGTTGACCCTGCTCCTTGCGGAGGAGGCTGCTGTACTGCAGCGCCAGTCGTGCTAGCCGGGAGAGCGATCGGCATCGATGTCGTTGTCCTTATTTGGCTTGTCGTTGTCGGTGCTGGGGGTGGAGAAAATACTGGTGGAGCTGCCGTGGTAGACGGAGCTTGCGATGTCGTTGATGTTGTTGGTGGCGGCGGTGGGGGAGGAGGTGCCACAGACGAAGAAGTTATTACGGTTGTCGGCGGCGGATTCGATATCGATACAGACGTCGTCGTTGGCGGTGGAGGTGGAGGCGGAGGCGGCGTAGTAGACGACGTTGTGGATGTTGAGGTTGGCGGGGGAGGCGGCGGCGGAGGGGGTGGAGGAGGTGGAGTTGTTGCAACGGCCGCTGTTGTTGATGTTGGTGTCGTTGATGTTGGATCAGCTTGTTGCTGTCCAGTTGGTAGCTCCGCGATGAAAGAAGTTGCATCGGCAAGCTGCCTCGCTTCCAATTGAACTAGCTGCAGAGGCCCAAGTTGAAGACCTGCTGCTGCAGCTGCTGCCGCTATCGTAGCGGCTTTAAGGAGCAACATGTTGGTGCGTGAGATGAATGAGGGCCTCGTATGCCACTCAAGGGTTCTCTCAGATGCGATGAGAATTAGTTTTAAGCCATGCCAGCATGTGGTATCGTGGGAGAGTATGTCAGATGCCTTGATGGCCGATCTCGAAAAGGAATCAAGAAGCAAAAGAACGCTAGCAGATTGACAGAAAAAGACAGTCTTGTCACCGTACACCACCTCGAGATATGAGGTTGACAACCGCCTGTTGAAGAGGAGGGGCGGAGGCTTAAACGGGGCAAGGATTTGATGCAACCCAGGTCCCGGTCGGAAAAGTCGGCTGGGAACATTGACGACTTGATTTCCCTGGAAGGTCGTGTGCGGTCCTTTCAAGGAGGCTTACTGTCTGGTCATCCCGGAAACAGAACATAGCCGTGTCAAGATCCTCTTCGTGGCGTGCGTCACTCGGATCTGTGTGTAAGTTGATAGAGTTAGAGAAGGGGTTTCAGTGACAGGGTCTGCCCGCCACACACCCGCGCGGATACATGCACCGTCCCTTTTTCCCACTACACCCGCTATGATTTTTCCCGTAGTCCGATCTTGAACTTTGGGCGGTGGGTTGAAAAGACGACGAGCATACCCCCTCAATTGAGCCACTTCCCATGGGATGCGACCTATCACGCCCCAGACGGTCAAAGGGTTTTGACGTTCTGAGGCAGCTCCGTGACAGCATGTGGAAGATGAGATGACCGTCCGACGTACCCGGTCTCCTTGCACTATCGTCTTTAATCGAAATGGGGGATATGGCACCCAATGAAACATCCACAGCGTGAAAAAGTGACTGGGAGGAGGGCCGGTAGGAAGCCGGTAAGCAGCCGGCACATGGTATTTTGAGTGAGGCGTACATGGACCGTAAGGCCGATTTACCGACGCTGCATCCCACGTACCAGCCGCAACACACCACAACTGAATCGCGAGTCGAAGTCATCGTCCGAAAACAGTAAGCTGGTAGTAGGATCGCAAGGCTCGGATTGTGTGTGCCTGTGGCCGGTCAGCTGGTCTGCTGCCAATCACAACGGATACGGATACGGGGTTCGTCTCTTGGATTCCGGGATTGCATGGGAAAAGTCTACCGACCACCCTCAACGTAAACCGTCTCGTACACGTGTAGGCTTCAAGCTGCATAGTCACTCCATGCAACCCCCATTCATGGCAGAGAGTCGGCAGAGGGTCCCGGAAGAAGGTCGTCAGGGAGATTCAGTCAACAGACCACGACTTGAAGCCATTGATCGTCGCGACTCTCTTACTTCAGAATATTTGTTGATGCTTATCTAGGTTCAGATGGCAAAACACGGCATGCGAGTATGGAAGCTACATTGCCATTTCTAAGCATTCCATGATGCGTACCAAGCCTTCAGTCCTCGACATTGCATGGCATTGAACCCGATATGTCTACTTGTACAAAACCATGGTGCCAGTATCGAGATCGGGCCCTGACGCCGCTATCATCACTGAAAGTGGAGTTGAGCCCTGTGGCCCTACAGGAGGGCTGATGTCAACTAGTCATCTAATACCGCCTTGGCCAGGACTTCCCCGGGTCCTAAAGCCCACATATTTGAGATCATGAGTCTCTCCTCGATCGATGTTTGTCTGAAGCGGCTCAAATGGGTAGTGTAGGGTGACATGTGGGCATCGAAGGCATGCAATAAGCGGCACGCTCTCCTATTGGCCGAATGGCCTTGTATTTGACACCCCGCATGCGTTTCTACATTAAGAACAGCATATGCTTCCTATCACCCCACCTATATTGGCTGCTATTTATACAAACATATACTCTATTAGTGCTGACGGGAGTAATTTAAGCTTGATGATGCCCTTGTCCTTCGAGTGCTTGGGGCGATGCATGCCATCTCATTCAGCCGCGATCCTTCAGAAGAATATAAAGGATTGGGATTCCCGAATTGCTGACGGGGCTTGGGCTTCGGTCACCGACAGAATCTCACAGCTGAAAGAGGTATCACCGGTGAGCACACGCGGGCTCTTGCAAAATGGGAAATCCGTACATCATGTCGCACTAAACGTTGGACGAATATTGACTCTCAATCGGGCAGCGCAGTTTGGCGTTCCCCTTCAATTGCGTTCCTTTCTATGGTAATGGCGTTGAAGCAATGCGGCGCTCGTCGTTACTAGGATGCATAGCATGAGCCGTATCTAGACGAAATTGATTCGATGACACACAGAAGCCTCATCATATAGGTATGACGGTCGTCCAGCCTTGTCCTCTCGAATGCAGCTTGCAATGGCTAGATAGTGGCGAATACCTCGCCTCTCAATGAACAGCTCAGTTTTATCTGCCAGAATGAAGTCAAGATTGTGATGATCAAAAACGGGTGTAAGGTCCGAGTTGATAGCCTCCATGATGGAAGTCTACTCATTTCGAATTGGCACGGTCTCTGTGAGCGGACATTGCAAAATCGCAACGTCCGGTCTGCACTGACAGCCGGTAGGTTTGCTAGACGTCAACTGTTCTTTGACGAGAGTGCGGCAAACCTAGACCTGAATGCACTTTACTAGAAGAATTCTCTGGCGCACCTTCTGATTGCCAAGTAATTTCGAATCGCTTGAGTGTCGCTCTTCTCGACAAAGCATGTTGATTCCAGCTGGAGACCTCATGTAGCCTCAAAGGAAACTTTGAGCGGTGACGTAAGCCGATTGGTCAACACACGAACTTGCCTTTGAACAAAGGTTAGTTCGTTTCACCAAATGAAAGGCGTCTTGGTAATCCAACATTAGTTAGTCCTCTCCAGATGAGAAAGGTACTTTGCTCGACCTCCAATCTTCAATCAATCAGATAGGTGTGATCATAACGCCACCGTGGCCTACCTAGGTCTTCTGGTCTATCCCGTTTATGCCGCCTTCGGGAGGCTGAGGCATTGCGGTGCCTGACAGCAAACCTTAAAAAGTTCTACTATGAGTTTACTTAACGAACGGATTCGCCTCCAACCGTCCTCCAAAAACCTACTCACAGACATTCGCATGATCTTACCTGGCACCACATCAGGGGAACTGAGCCATCAAGACCAAGGTGCAAGAAATTGACTTTTCACGTCTCGATTTCCCAGAAGTTCCAGATGGTCTAGAACTTGGGCCATTCTCGGCCCGGCTTCTTGCTTTGCGCTCACTTGTCATCGTCTCATGTTCTTCGCTTCACCATGGATGTTGGTCATGTTCGGACACTCGGTCCAACTTCTCCCTAAAGGGCCGCGATCGCGAATAAGATTGATGGAGGCAAAAGTCAACAAAGCGAAAAGGATATCCCACTGCAATGGATGAGAACGAAGAGGCGATTTTGCGCGGCTGATGTCACTGCCAGCAGTTCGAGCTCATATTTACGGACTAGTTGTGAACCTGAACTTGAGATACCGCAAGTACCAGACCGAACTGAGGTGGTCCAGGCAGACTTTGGCCAAGCCTGGGCGTACAGAACCACTCGGTGCTACTCTACGCAGCCAGAATAATCATCGAAACTGCCATAACCCCGGACTGCCGGACGATACTCCATTTCCTGGGCATTTTTTCTCAAGCTGCGCAACATTTTACAGCTCCTTCCGAATATCAGTCACAGGGCTGAAAATGCATCGGATGTTCCATTTGCACGAAATCTCACGTCAGATGGGGCTTACAAGGCCACATCACCTAAAGGAATACGATTGCCGAGCAATGCAGCATGAGTGCTTCCTTGCTGGTGCTTACTCACACAGTTGACACAAAGATGGCTGCAAACGCTGTCCCCGCATCTTGGCTTCAGGATGAGTACGAAGGTTTCTGGAAGCTGAGCAGGCTTGCTTCTACGACCAGTGCTTCAAGATGGTGCTTTCACAAAGGACTTCACATTTGTTCATTCCCAGGTCGCAATCGAGACTAATCTCAAAATCATCTCTTCAATCTCACAGCATGGTATATTGCTGGCTTCTGTTGAACGATGATGCGTGCATCCTTAATTGTGACATCTAGAAGTGATAGGTACTGCATTGTGGCGACTCTGTGCCGAAGATTTTGATATAAATCCGCCTACACAACTATGTTTAAATTCTTCCCGGGGCCTCGGTATCATTCACTCGTTGGGAGACGGGGCCTCGGGCTGAGACAGATATTACACTCCGTGTCCAGATCCCCGAAAGCGAGCCCTTCCCCAACACGAGCGGGGAAGATCAGTGACTACTGGCTATTGACGATGTCTCGATGCCAAACACGAATGAAAAGCCACCCGAGGCTATCTTCGACTCTTTGGTTCTTTAGCTCGGCTACTAAGTCCGCTGGCGTGGTACTACATGTAGGCCGTGGCACCAGATCGCCCACAAGGGTCACAACAAGCCTCTGATAACTGCTGCGGGGTAGCAGTAGACTGCCATTCTCGTCAATCTTGCGGACGAACTCATAACCCTATTGTGCCAAGTTTTCATTCTACGTTGGCCCGTTGTCGAAGGATAGTGCAGTTGATGTGACCATTTTCCTTGGGGACTCTAGACAAAGTCGGACTAAGCGCCCGGCTATAGCATGCCGGCGCTTGTTGCCCTGAAGAAGCGAAATAATATCTACAAAGGATTCCACGCGAAGTCGCGAGCCTCGGCAGGAATTTGACCCCAGCATTCCAGACGCTTTTCGGCGGAGATAAGATCACATCTCATTGACTCCAAGATCAACAAGTTCAAAATACGATACGTTCAGTGGCGCCCATATCGGCCATCAAGATTGTACAGTGACCAAACACGACTCGGACCAACTTTCTTTTCTGGACAGAAAATTCAAAACACATCAGGCAAAATGTCGTCAGAAAACCTATTCCCCAGGCCGCCATACGACGCCCAACTGGTCCCGGCCTTGGACCGCATGACGGCTTACCCGCGAGCAAGGGATGGCATAGTCCACGGGCGACAACTACGAGCGACCGCAATGGCACCTATGCAAGCAGCGATACGAAATGACGAAGACCTAGTAGTAGAGGACCGCAAAATTGCCGGGCCCGACGGAGAGATCCCCATAGTCATCTTACAGTCCCGGAACCCAAAGACGGCAAGCGGCCAACATCCCGGCATCGTATTCTATCACGGCGGCGGCATGGTACTCGGCGACGCCTTTCTTGGTATTCAGCCGTTCGCGCGCATGGCAAAGGACTTTGACGCCGTTGTCGTCAGCATAGAGTACCGCCTGGCACCAGAGCACCCGGCACCCGCGCCGCAGGACGACTGCTACGCGGGTCTCCTCTGGACGAGCGAGCACGCGCAGGAGCTGGGCATCGACCCCGCGCGCCTCATGATCGCAGGCGTCTCGGCGGGCGGCGGTCTCGCGGCTGGAGCGGCACTGAGGGCGAGAGACACGAGCGGGCCGAAGCTCTGCGCGCAGCTGCTCGTATATCCCATGCTCGATGACAGGGACACGGGCATGTCCAAGAAGCAGTTCAGGGACGACAAATGCTTTGACGCGCTGGATAACAACGCTGCATGGGGCTGCGTCTTGGGTGAGAAGGCAGGCGTGGAGGGCGCGGATGTGAGTCCCTATGTCGCGCCGGGCAGGGCAACGGACCTCTCCGGACTGCCGCCGGCGTACATCGACGTCGGGACTGCGGAGCCGTTCAGGGATGAGAACGTGGCGTATGCTACGAAGCTATGGGATAGCGGTGTGCAGGCGGATCTGCATGTCTGGAGTGGTGGATTTCACGGGTTCGACTTGCTGGGTCTTGCTGTAGGATCAGATGTCGCCAAGGCTGCTCTCGAGACGAGAATGGGATGGGCCAGGAGAATATTTGGCGCGCACTAGATGTTTGATACTAGGTCACGATCAGGTAGGATAACCATAAAGGAAGAATTGCATGAGGTCAGTATGCTCGTTGTTCACCCATCGGTTGCCAAGCCTCTTGACTGCGTGTCGTCCCAAACTTGAGCCGCCTCCTGTCTGCAAACCGCTCAATCCAGGGGAAACTCCTTATCCCATCCGGACCACCGGTTGACTTCAAGGAGGCAGAGAAAGAACACCATCTGCGAATGCTTGCTTCGCTGGTGAAACGGATAACAAGAGCCCGTTATCAAGAAAGCTGAAAGAGCTTGCAGAAACGCAGCTACAACTTCACAATGAACTCGACTCAGCCACCTATCTGATGGCCACTGAAACAGTCTGACCTTATTTCGGATACGGAAATCGTGCTGCAAGCGGTCAGATATCTCACTTAATTACCCCTTCATCGTCTAGCGGCTCGCCAAGGCGCTGCACGTCAACGTCAGATGAACAGATTCAGAAAAACGACATCTGCAGTGTCCCAAATAAAACAAAACATACGAGCGCAGCCGCCGCCGGTCCACGTCAAACTCGCCTTAGTCACCAGCGGTGCGCGGCTGGCTGGCGAACAGATCCTCTCGAGAGCCCTCCCCCTTCAACGGTACCAGTGCGGTAGGTAAACCTGACTCTGTCGTCTAAGCGCCAAACAACCATGGCTAGGTCAAAGTGTCACTGTCGACAGGTCTCCAGGCCACCGCACGCCAAACTCGGATGACGGAACCGAATTGACAAGAGCAGATATTCGAACAGCCAGGCAGAAAATTCTCCACAGGGAGGGAGCGGGAAAAGGGAAAACATGAGGCAGGAAAAGAGACAAGAGAAAATTGATGTTCAACACATTCACTTGCATCTGGGAAGATGCCGGCGAGCCCGTCAAAAGGTGTGTGCCTCCGTTTCAGGGGTTTGACATGGTAGACCATGATTGCGCGGCTGCCGTCAGTGCGGGGACGAGGTCAACAACAGGGAGAGGAAAAGATGAGAGGAAAGTCATAGAAACACGATGTGCAGACTGCAAGGGAAAGAGAAACGACGACCACTCCACTGAACTGAGAAGAGGGGAGAAAATGTAAGCCTTGACTAGGAAGACACTTCGAGACGCGTTCCGCGCCTTGGCCATCCGGGGCCACGGGCTCCCGTCATTAGTCCAGACGGCACAGCCCGTCGTGCGATCTGCGTCGATCACGGTGATCGATCCGTGTTCCTCATTTGGTGCCTGGCTTGGTAAGATGGATGTTTGAGACGTACATATTCCGTGGGTGCGCCCGAACCCCGTATCAACTTGGTGGAGAAACGGGTCAAGATTCAACCCCGAAAGTCATGACCGTGGTACCATTGAATCATTGAACATCGTGAAAATAGATTTGTTGCCCGCCCACGGCGCAAGCTCGTCTCGAACCACTCACGTTCTGCCCATGGACCAGTGCGTCCTGAAGTTGCTGTGATGTACTCCGATAATAGGACATGATCGGAGGCTTCCAGAGGGACTCCAGACGTTAGATTCAAGGCCCAAGGCTGAGTGAACATCAAATGAGCAAAGTGGGCGGGAGTGACTGAATCGACACGGTGTGACTGCGCCTGAATACCTGCTTGGCATCAGAAAGCCAAGGGGATCAAGTCCAATGCCGTTGCTTACACAACGGCATCTACTATCCGGCATCGGTCCAAAGCATTGGAGTTGGAGAGTCATTGGAACAGCTCGATGCCATTCATTGACGCCTGGCAGACATGATACGACCAGACGCCCTTTGGCAGTTTGATCTAAGCTCGTTCCCTTTCTTCATCCACGAGTGCGAGCTCCCCGTTGCGATAACGAGTCGAACTCACACACTGCATACGGAAAGAAAGTTTTCTTCACATCCAAGCGGATGGGAAATGATCTTCAAAAGATAGACGGGGTTTAGAATGTTCCGCATAAATCTGATTGGCTGGAAGGGGCCGGTCGAGGAGGTATCCGGCGGCCGACTACGACGGGGAGTCGGCGTCGTCGCCGAGGACATGCCGGACCAAGACATAGACGTCTTAAGAAGTGGAGACCCATTGTCTCGATATGTGAGGCGTCAAAGGTAAAATTCAAAATGCTCTCATCCGCTCTCTCTCAGATCGACTATCTGGCGGACCAGGGTTCTGGGCCGGGATCCGAAGGGAGGGGACCGGAGCAAGTCACAGTCGCTGGCACGAACGAACCTACGAACGAACCACTCGGTTCTGCGTCGTAAGTTCAATAATGAACAGTTCTGTTATCTCGGGGGCTAAATAAGAACCGGTAGGCATGGTGTAATTGTCCAAGAGAAACATGATAATTTGTGTTCATTGTGGTCCCAAATGGCCCTCATCGATGACCTTAGACCCGATTCGATCGACACTATGAAATCTACTAGCCAAACAGAACATACCATTTCGGGAGAATTGGGCATCCCGAAGAATTGGAATCGTTTTTCCCATGGTATTATCAGATCCCATCATCAATCCCACCGGCTCGGCGACGTGGACAAGATTACCTAGGCAATCTGGATTCCGAAGGAAGAGAGAATGCTTCGCCGGCAGTGAACTGAGCTAGTCTCTGTACTACCCCAACACCTAGATCAATCGATTCTTTGGGTCCCGTTGGCGCGGAAGAGTGCCGGTCTGATAAGCAACCCTGCGTTCCAGAGGTCTGGATCCGGACAGGGGCAGGCCACAAGCAGGCTGGCAGGGTAACTTTCTCTACAGTCGATGATTACTGATTACAAAATTCCTCGCCCAGCAATGCTGTCAATATCCAGCCAGCCAGCATTCGCGGTGGCGGGCGTGGTCACCGATACGAACCACATCGCGCCTCAAAGTCTAGATCGACCATTCCATCGGGGACGACGTCTCCCCTCGAGCTCACCACAAAGAAGAGCACAGTCATGGCTCGTCAAGCTGTAGAAGCAAGAAGGACTAGTCTACTTAGCGCAGCTCGGAAGTCAGCTTTAGTTAGTCAACCGAGTGAAGAATCAATGATGGTTTACGCTTCTTCGTGCCTGTCTTCCCTTCATGATTGGTGAGGAACGTGTCATCTACGCGAATATGGCCGCATCCGGCGATTCTCACGCCAACGCCGCCTCCAGCTCTCGCCAAGCTAGATGTGGCTAGATGTTATGTAGGCTTTTCGTAAATCGTAAACTCTTTATCGTCATTGCTGCTGTCGAAGCACCACAGCACCTCAGCAAGACTCAAGCCTCCCCGAGTCGGCGAACCCAGTCGGCCGGGGCGCACCAGTGAGCTGCAGCGAGCTCGAACTGAGTCTAGCTCTTCGAGTCTTCTAAACGCTTCGCTCTTCAAGGTCAAAAAAGATTGAACCATAGAACTGTCCGGCCCTGCTTGTTCTCTTGATAGCCAGCCACGCGGGGAGGCTTGTCGATTCTCAAACCGCGCCATTGTAGCCTTTAAACTGTCAGATATCAGCCCATCGGCTTTGTTGAATGCACTTGGAGCCAGTTTCGTAGCGGGCGGGCGCTGGAATACCTTCAAAGTCCGCGTCACACAGTATTCCCGTTCGGACTTTGTTTGAAGTTTTTTTGGTGTCGTTAGTGAGTTCGTTGGGAAGCCCATATCGTTGTGGCATATCCCATATCAATCTTGTCGTGGAAGTACATTCAGACCTTCGCCATCACCCATGTCCTTGGCACGATAACTTCTGAATCACTTTTACGGCATCGAAGTTGGTTTGGGAAGAACAATGCCATAGACCGTTGAGAGATCGTGACCAAGAACTCTTACCCGCAATCGTCGGCGCGATTACATCTTTGGCGACGAGGGCATAGCGAAGGCAGTCATACATCACAATGGTTACCGGCAACGAGAGCTTCGGCGCCAGTCTCGAGCGTCAGAGTTGGATACACTACTCAATAGGGATGGCCTTTATCTTCCTCAGAATGTTCGTTCACTAGGCCCCTGTCAACAGTCGGAAAGGAGCCAAGCTGACATATTTACTTGATAGGTATGGAAGAGCAAAGAGGTTGGGCGGTGTCTCCAACTTCGAAGCCGACGACTATCTCCAGATTCTCGCAGCGGTATGTTCAATCGTCTACATGCTTCTCATGACTATCAGACAAACAACCAAAAACTGACCACTTATCGCGTGGCAGGTTCTCTTCACTGTCCTGGTAGCCCTCCTCAACATCATCACCGACGGAGGCGGCTCGAACCTCTACCCTCCAGAACTAGAAGGCACCTTCACCCAAGCCGAGATCGAAGACCGCATCCACGGCTCCAAGATTGTCCTCGTTTCAGAGCAGGCCATGCTGAACCTCATCTACGTGCTTAAAGCCTGCGTGCTGATCCTCTACACCCGCCTTACCCTTAACCTCGCCGCCCAGCGCCTCGTGCGCTGGCTAGCAATGTACGTCGCTCTCGGATGGACCGCGACGCAGGTAACAATGTTCGCCGCCTGCCGTCCCTTCAGCGGCTACTGGGCTATGCCGCCACCCGACCCGCAATGCACGACGTATGAGAACTACGCCATCCTCCAGGGCTGGTTCAACATCTCTTCCGACATGCTGATGCTCATGATTCCCCTTCCGCTCGTCTTTCGTATGAAGGTGCCCTGGAAGCAAAAGGTCGTTCTCTTATTTGTCTTCAGTCTCGGCATCTGCGTCATCGTCGCGGCGCTGCTGACCAAGATCTTCAACCTGTCCGACCCGTACAGCCCTACGTACATGCTGTGGTACATCCGCGAGGCAAGCGTCGCCGTCTACGTATCGAACCTGCCGCTTGTCTGGCCGCTGCTAAGGGAGTGGTTCCCCTGGCTGCGAAACCTTAAGACGGCGGGCGTGCTTCCGACGCCGTCTAATCAGGCAACGGGTCACCGGACGAAGCAGGATGCGAACATGTCCTCAGGTGTTACCGTTCACAGCACACACCGGGGGCCTGCGCCTGCGGGGGTGCCGAACTCGAGGAGACATACCTTTGAGGAGTTTGGGACCTGGCTCAGCGCCAGCGACCTTGAGCTCCAGAAGCCGGCCCGCGTTTTGAGGTCGTCGGCAAGTAGGCGGCACATTTTGGAGGAGCACGATGACGACGAGCCTGAGAGCTCAGCTGTCGGGGAAGAGAAGAGCGTGAAGAGGGTGTCTATAGTGGTAGAGTATAGCGTTGGTGGCGGGGAGAGTAGTATGGGATCAAGTCCAGCGCCCCAGCTGTCGCCCTTGGATACCGACCACGGCTTGATTGATTGGGAATACCAGCGTCGGAGTCGCTGTATGCGTAGGTCAGGAGCGACAGGCTCTACTGTGGGACATGGTCTGCTTGCCTGGGGGGACCGAGATAGGAGTCAGGGTGCAGCGAGTCGACCAAGTGAGAACTCACCGTAGATGATTTCTCTGCGGGATAGGCGATGGTTCGGGATTGGCTTAATGGCGTCTATGTTGGGTTCATTGTTTGGGAATACCCTGGGACTGCTTTCACGGCGTTACATTGTAAATATTGACGTGCTAGGAGGGCCGGCACTCATGGTGGCCGAGCATCTGTGCTCAATGATATTGATTATTCTCGATTACATACCATGACCCGGATCGTTGTGCAGTCGTTGGTGTCGCAGTTGGGGATGATCAATAGATGGAACGATGTCCGCCGATTCGCTGGGCTGCGCCAGGGAGTTGTCAAGTTTGTAAGAAGTATTCGTATTCGCGTGCCTCAATGGGCAATGGTATCTAGGACAGGCATGAAGTACAAAACAACAGGGGTATCGAAGCAATTCCAAACATCGCGCAACATCTTTCCGTCTTCGGCTCGTAGTCGTACTATTCGCATGTCTCGTCAAGTTCCCTGCCGGCGGGATGTTCCTTACGCAGTACTCCCATCCAGCTTGCGGTTCAGGCATTCATCCAGGCCTGCTCAGTCCAACCAGCTCCATGTGCCGGTGACTCTACCTTCGTCCCTATTGGCCAATTTGTCGAAGACCGCGGGGCTCAAATCGAGATCAGTCGGCGCGCAACCGGTGCATCGATCCACAACGGTGACATCCACCGATCCCTCGCCATCACGCCGGACCCGGATCTTCTTGCCGCAAAGCGGATTATTGTTCGGATTGCCGCCGCTCTGCACATTATCCCACAGGTAGTGTGACACCGAAACAATCATGTCGCTGTCGCTGCTCGTCTTTCCGCAGGCGCCCAGCCCAGGAGCATAGTATGTGAGGTCACCAGTGTGAACGTCTTGGTTGTTCGGAAGGGGCAGGTCTTGCTTTCCTCCGCCGCGCTTGGAGAGACCGAGGCCGAGGGCCAGAGGAAGGATGAGCAGGAACAAGACCGCGAGCGGCAACACGATGAACAGAAGGAATCGCTTTCGGGAAATGCCGAAGTAGGTCTTATGTGGCGGGAGCAGAGCATCGAAGCGAGCTGCTAAGGAGGGACGGGCCTTCGGTGCTGCCGTTGCGCCGGTAGTGGCCGCCGCGCCGGTGGCAGGAGCGGTTAGATGGGCGTGATCATCGGAGCGTTGGGTATCTTCTTTTGCGAAGCCGCCTTCATTCGTCGCCGTGGGAGCAGCAGTGGTGCCATTGTCGCGTTGGTGGCCAGTCGTCGCTGGAGCGAAGCGATCAAAGAACGAGCGACGCTTGTTGGCCGTGGGAGTCTCCCAGTCGGGGGTCTGGTAGGTTTGCGCCGGGCGCTGGATGCCTTGTTCCTCGTCGGCCATTGTACGTGTGAGCGACTGTCGCTAAGTGTTTCAATGCCGCAGGCGTTGTTTTTTGGTGCTGTTTCAGTCGTCAAAGCCGGTTCGAGGGCATTGTTCGTGATCAAAGACGTTGCAATTGCGGTGTTTTGGTAGTTGTTGCCGGGGGGAGGTGAAGCTGTCTCGTATGCGCCAGAGAGAGATGCAAGCGATAGATAACAATGGCAGGGAAAAACAGGAAAGAAAGAATGACGCTGGTGGTGGCAGCGAATCTTCCGCCAGCCTGCAAGGTTGTCAGCCTGTCAGGTCCTCGGGAAACCCTGATGATGAGGAAAGCCGGCGAACGGCAACTGGTTGGCGATGGCGACGATCTCCGTCCTTGCCGCCCGCCAGGATGGGAAACTTGATTTCGCGACGATTGTGGCTGGTGGGAACGAGGGGCACGTTGCAATGCAGGGGCCGTCAAGGTGTACCTTAACGCGGTTTAGGTCGAGATGGCTGGAGCCCTCTAGCCGTACTGGGTATAGCCTCAGATACGTACTCTTGTGGACCTGCAGAAGCGTGGCTGGTGGGGCAAACCCTCCTTCCCTGATTTTGGAGATCGCCACACCACTCCTCCCACCACCGCTTCAACTCAAGCTCGTCAATTGTTGAATGCCTCATGAGACTTATGAGAGACTACTAGCAGCCGGGATCTCGACTTCATGGGTCCAAGAAGTCTAGCCAGCTTGCTAGTCTGTAATAACACGTTTCCAATCTGACGCCCAAGAATAATTTCACCTGGCCCGGCTGCCTGCATGCAGTGCTCCGCCAGAACCATTTGATTGTCCAAGATGATGCAACTGAACAGTGCTTCTTCTTTTAATCATGGAATGTCTCCAGTCTGAAGTTTCAGATCATCGTCTCTCAATCGGAAATATTGATCAATCGTTGCAGAATGCTACCTCTCTCTTGTAATGCCGCTCTTAAGACACATTCGGTGCACCTCCCTGGTCATCCTAAGGAGTGTCTAAATATCTACGAAAGACGGGGGTGATACATGCTGACGAGCAACGTCTTACTCTCCTTTATCGTTTTTCAGTTCAACGTCTTTTACTCTCACTTTGCTCGACCTCCCCTACAAAATTGTCTTCCGGCTCCAAGGACCTGTGTCTCGCATTCAGTTCTCACAAGAAGCAACGCCAGGGATATCATCGTGATCGAACAACGGCTCCCTCCTCTCATCAATATGTTCTTGAGAACCTCAAAGCTCGACTGTACTCAGAGAGTTAATCGTTGCATATTCAACCACCGATGACCCTCCTGATGATGATAATGGATGCCTGGCGTCCATCTCACTCATCCTCTTCGAGATTACCTATATCAAGTCATCTCTATTGCCCATGCAACATCATCCAATCTGTATATTCCATCTGGGAATCCAATAAGCCTCCAACACTTCGTCAGCATTCATTCTACGACCCTGCTACAATAACCTCCATGATCACGCAGTTGCCAGCCATCATGTTCTTCAGCTGCCGCGCCAAACAGCCCACGCCTCCGCCGCCCCGGCCTCATTGCGTCTCCTCTGGCTGCGTCCACAAGGTCTTGAAGTGCGAGGCACCAACCAAGGCTAAGCGCATTCTCTCCATCTTCTGCAAAGACCGTTAGTTTGGTGGAATCCTTTTCTGGTAGAGGAAACTCTCTGACTTCGTCCTCATTCCCAAGATGCCTGCCGCTCGCGTACCGGCGAGAAGATGTGTACGAACCCCAAACAGCCTGGATTATCCAAGTACTGCGAAGACCGTACGTTGCATTGTCTTGGTTAAATCTCTCCTCCAATGCCTGTATAGTTGCTGAACATGGTCACCTGGGGAAAGACGGCCGCTGCCACTGCCAGGGCTGTTCCAATCAGCGTATCTTTGCCGACGCAAACCAGGACTGGCCATATTGCCAAAACCGTACGTTTCTCGTAACTTTCGCGTCCTTAATACCGCATAGTTCACTGGCTATAATACTGATTTCACCGTCTCTCGGGCATACAGACACCTGTTCAAGCTATGGATGCCACAACAAGCGAGCCACTAACTCTCAAATGTGCAGCTTCCACACGCCCATCTGCCTTATCCCTGCCTGCGGTCACCCTCGCGTCGGCGATGGCCTCTACTGCTCGAGCCACACCTGCACAGATAAGGAATGCAGCAGTGTCATCGACGGCGGCAGCTGGTGTAGAGATCACCGGCTCTGCAAGACCGCGGGGTGCTCCTCGCCGAGGGTGGTTTCGCCCGGTAGAACGCATGAAGAAGTTTGCTGGTTCCGTGAGTTTTCTCTCTTCGACTCCTCAAAACGAGTTATTATATCCTGAGGCTGTGGAATACTGACATGGCGGAACGCTCCAGATCTACCGACAAGCTGCAACGCGACAGCCTGCGGAGCCGTCGTCAGCGGCGGCGTCCACTTCTGTCCCCAGCACGAGTGTACCTATCCGCCATGCCGCGAGCGCAAGGACAACGGAACGGACGCGTCAAGACTCTACTGTGCCAGTCGTAAGAAACCATATATTTTCTCGCATCTCTCCCAAGACACTTGAGGGCCTACCCTCTTTCACACGAAATCCCACTAACAAAACCTCTCTCGCTCGGTTCTCAGACACCTGCCACGCCCAAACCTGCCCCCAACCAGCAGCAGACCTCGCGAACCCCTCGAAACCACCACACCGACCGAGCTTCTGCGTAGCGCACAAGTGCGCGGCAAGCCCAGAGTGTCCTCACCCCTCGAAACCCGCCAGCCGCCGCTGCGCCCTCCATGCCTGCTTGCACCCGTCCTGCCCGGCCCCGCGCGCCGACGATCCGCTACTCGTCTCTGCCAGCCAGTTTTGTATCGGACACGAGTGCCGGGCTACGGGATGTCATGGCGCCGCGAGATCCAACGGGAGTTACTGCGACGCGGCCCATGCCTGTGTTGTCCCCGGATGTCCCTCCCCGCGTGACATCGGCTCCGGCGGACTCGGAGTAGGTGGCCCCGGATCCGTATGCTGCGCCTCTCATACAGCCATGATTGCCCGCGACACCTCCGGCTGGAGCACCACCATCGAGCGCAAGAGTGTACCCACGCCACCTTCGTCACCGCTGCCGCAGACGCAGAAGCAGAAGTTTCCGTATCTCAGTCAGACGGAGGAGGCGCTGGGGATGCGGTTCAGGGAGGAGAGGGAGAGACACGATCAGGAGGCTAGACTTGCGGAGGAGACGAGGGCTTGGCATGCTGTCACCACGGCCGCTGCTGCTCGCGGTGGGAGTGATGAGGTCGAGGTTGTGGGGGGCGTGCCGGTGCCGGGTGGATTTGAGACGAGGGGGAAGAGGCACCGGGCTAGAAGAAGGGGGAGTTATGATAGTGGGGTTGCGCCGAGTCCGACTGTGAGTGAGGGGACTTCGCCGAGTGACTTCACGTTTGTGAGTTGATGGTTGTGGTTGTGTGGAATACGAGGCGAATAGGGCCTGGACGATCTAGGACAGTGAGAGATAGAGTGAGAGTGAGTGTGTTAAGGAGACGATCATAGAGACTCAACATAGACAGTGCTGAACAATCAGCTGCTTCAATGGGTGACTGGAAAGCAACTCTTATTCCCAATTCATTTTCTAAATTTTGTTTGATCTAACTTATCGCACTAATACTGCTTTGAACGAGAGGACGGCTTCATAGAGGAAACCAAGCGTAAACCAAATAACGACGCACTCTGACGAGCAACTCTTTCAAGCGGTAGTCTTTCAAAGAACGAGATACCCCAAATTTCAAGATCCATACAAGCAGATGACAGAGGTTTGTGTACATAAGCACAAACCCAGCTGTTGAATGGAATCATCACACCGACGCAACGAGGTGAGAAATTTGGTCACGCCACCCACTTACGCAGCGTCGCCATCTAAACCCTGAACAAGACACCTCACCGCGTCTCTCCAGGTGCAAGAGGATCACAGACGAGCCAACAGAAGACCACCAGGCAGCAACCCGGCATCGCCATCGATTCAGACTGTCCCCTCTTAGCCTCGGGGGGTCCATCTAGGCCCACGCTCCGACAAGACTCATGCCGAAGGCGCCAAAGAAGACGAGAACGCAAGCCCAGACGCGCTTCGAGCCCCTCAGGACGCGCCAGCTCTCGTCGGACAGGAAATCCTCGGCCAGAAGCTCAATCAGCGCGGCAAAAACGAGCAACCCGGACGAGATAGCATTCATGGTGCCGACGAGAATGAGGCCAAACTCCGAGTCAGGGCTGTAGAGGCGGTGGGTCGCGAGACCGATGGCCTGGCCGATGGGCGTGGTGCAGCCGTAGGCGAGGGCCATCATCCAGGGCTGGAGGCTGCCCTGGGGCCAGTCAATGTTGGCGATACGGGAGCCGAGGGCGAGGCCTTCAAAGGTCTGGTGGAAGGCGATTGCGATAAGGAGGATGACAAATTCATGGCCGACGGAGACGGAGAGGGTCATGCCGATGAAGACGGAGTGGAAGAGGATACCGACTTCGAGCATCATGCACTGGAGGATGTCCTTTTGGTGCTGCTGTGCGGGGGTCAGGACGATGCCGCCGTTGGAGTTGACTTGCACGGCGCGGTTTTCCTCGTCGACGATGACGCGCTTCTCACCACGCTGCTGTTGCTGCCCTTGATCGGTCTCATCGCCGCCCTCTGGTTGGTTCGGGGCGAGTACGGCGTCACCAGGGGTGCAGCTCATTTGGCGGGCAGGGGAGAAGACCATCTCGATGATGGTGACGAGGAAGATGCCGGCCAGGGCGATGGCGCCCGGCATGGCGGGGTAGTCCTCGACCCAGAAGGAGCTCAGGCATGGGTTGCCGAGGAGGGTGAAGGCCGTCGGGAGGAGGTGAACGAAGGCGGTGGCGAGGAGAACGCCAGTGCCAAAGTGACGGACGGCGAAGAAGAAGGGACGGGGAATGCGGATGCCGGGGATACTCTTCGCGATGAGCGGGAAGGCGCAGGCGAGGAAGGAGGTTGCGAGGATGATGAAAAGGGCGCCGACGTGGAGGGGTGTGTTGTAGGCATCTTCGTCGCCGAGGCCGCCGGTTGGGCAGGTTGAGCGGGCGGTAATGCGGTCGTGGTCGTGGGTGTGGGCGTGGCGCTTGGTGACGGCTTGGGATATTGTCAGCTTACATTGTGTTAAGGCATTGGTGGTGAACAAGAAGGAGTGAGATAAGTCTAAGTCGGATAAGGCACAATGGGATGAGATGAGATGAAATGGGATTTGTATGTTGATACATGTGGGTGGGTAATGGGTCGACGAGGCCCGTCTTCCGAGCGATTGTGACGAAGAAAGATCAACTTACAATGAGTAGTTTCTTTGGTCGCGACAAGGAAAGACGCGACAGCCTCGGGGCTTTTGAGGGCAGAGATGATGGCTGAGCAGCCAATGACGGACATGATCCAGCTCACCCAGCCCCAGAGGGCGGAGCGGACGGGCGCAGAGGCCCAAAGGAGAGGTGTATGGTCATCACCACCATTCACCTTTTTGTTTCGGGGATGGAAACCTGGAAAGCATTAGTATACGTTGATGAATGCTGTGTGAGGTGGTGGTTAAATGTCGTTGATGATGCCGGCCGATGCCGCATGCACACCGAGAGCGGTGAGTGAGGTGAGTGAGGTGAGAAATGGGAGAGAAGGCACCTTGATGTCGTTGGTCCCAGTCTCCGCATCATCACAACCACGAAATCACCAACATCATTGAATATTTTGTTCATGAGAAATCAAGACTCACCGTGTTTCCACCCTCCCGAAACGCGCAGCCTTCGATCGGGCTGCAGACGTGGCAGCGTCTGGTAATTCATGTCGTCACCCCGGCCGTCGGATCCATCGCCGGCGCCGCCCCGGGCCCTACGTTGCTCGCGGGCGTTGGCAATGCCGTTCAGATCCTCGCAGGTAGTGAGGTCGGCGGAGAGGAAGGGCGGATTCTGGTTCCAGTCCGGGTGCTCCAGCGTGATGTCGTCGTTGCGCGAAGGGCAATTCATCGTGGGCGAGAACGATCTTTGGCTGTGGTTTTTTTTTCTACGGGGTTACTAGAGTCCTTTCGTGGGTCGATTGGAACTTGTCGTTGTTACTGTCTAATTGTTGTCGGTCTCGATTTGGTATGATTTGATGTGGTGTCTTGTTTGAGTGGAATCGTAAGAGGATGGAGTTATGAGAATAAGAAGATGGAGATGGAATCACACGAGTCAATCTTTCGAGGTCACTGGGGATCAAGGTACCTTAGTACTTTGAGGTCGTCAATTTAGGTACCTTGAGGTTCCTTGAGCGTAGGGGGCTCGTAGTGGTGTCAAGTACTTCCTCACCCAACTACATATGGGCAGTGACATCCAGCTGCTGTTCTCTTCGCAACCTTGAGGGAGCCGGGTGCAGCAGGGCCCCAAGCCTCAGGGGGGAAGAGGAACCTTGAAAGACCTGGCCCGACTGGCTGTCCCTAACTGTGCCGTCTTCGGGATCTAGAAATTTTTAGGGGAGCGTGGCGGGAACTTGCTTCGGCCAAATGCGGAAGCGAGTCACACAGCCAGTCTCAGCCTCAGCATCACTCATTCTCTGATTTCTAGGTACAGTGAAAGTTCATAAGAACGAAAGCCGTGTTTGAAAGTCTCTGCCGGGGCCGAGGAGGGGCTCCTGGGCGGACGGAGGACAGTGCCGGTGGGACTCTGCACTTCATGCTCGTGGTGTATCCGTACTGCGTAAACCGTAAACCCAATCTTCATACCGCGAAACTCGGACACCGATATTAATTGGAGACTCTCGGAAGACGGCAGCAGGTCAGAAACTTCAGACGTTTAACTTGAATACGGCCCATGCTCGTTCTGGTCTGTTCATCATGAATCTCGTCCCGCCTTTCAGTCATTCACTCATGGTCACCTGTGGTGGGCTTGGCTGACGAGGATGACCTCGTTGCGTATCACCGCTAGCAACCCCGAAGCCCAATCATTAACACCCTCCTCCGTAACCTCTTCGCGCCGAGGGTAAACAAGCCATCACCACTACCGGCAATGCATATATCCCCCCTTTCCCCCAATCTCAAACCGTTCACCCGCATCATTTGATCCCCGCGATTAGAACGTCACTGCATAGAGTACCCGGTTCTTCCCATAGTCGCATTGCCTACCACCTAGTGATGGGCGTTCCCGCTTACCCCATGGGGCTGAGTGCTCCCGCTCTATTCCGAAGCTCAGGCCGCAGGACTAGAGATAGCCGACAACACCAAATAACGGATAAGTCAGATTCGACTCCCTCCCCTCTGTGACTGCAGTTGGTTTGCTTTGAGTGCCGGTGTTCGACTTCGTGGTGTCTTGACTTTGACTACATACATACATACATAGTTTATTACGCCCCGGCTAAGCTGTTTAGGGCTCGCATGATTATCTACATATTCTCCACATTCGTTCATATCCTTGCCTCCCAGAAGCCCATACAAGTCTTGTTCGTCTCCGTATGTGTCTTTTTTAGTTTTGCATGTCGATGCTGCGGTTGCTCGTGGGGTTAGTAGCAGGCCATCTCGGAGTTGTTTCTCAAAGTGTTCGACGTCCTATCGTCGGCGGCCGAAGCTAGTCCTGCTGTCGATGGCACGAGGATGCGTGGGGGTGTCTCCGGTTAATTTGATGATGTTAGTTGCGTGTGGTTTCGCTGCTGGCTGATCTGTGCATCTAGCCTCTCCGTGCTCATGGCGAACTTGATCGTCTCTTTGACAACGTCTACGCTTGGCGACCAATCCTTAGGGTCGGACGCGCGCTTTCCTCCCAGGAAGTATGACAGATTTCCTCTCCGCGTTTCCGTCTGTTGGAGCATCCGAGTCCGCTGTGCCGTCCACTGTGTGCATCGAAAGAGAAAATGCTCTACCGTTTCTGCAGATTGCCCGCAAGCGCATAGCGCCGCGGCGGTTGCGCCGATCTGGTAGAGGTACCAGTTCAGCCTTGCCATTCCGGTGCGTAGTTGCGCTAGAATGCTGGCTTCTTTCCAGGCCAGTCCGTCATACAGCTTGCGTGTGTGGTTTCCCGGCAGGGCTATGTCGATCTTCTTCGAATATGCTCCTACGTTGTCGGGCAAGGCTCCGTGCTTCTGTCGCACGCTCTGTAAAGCGATCCTAAGTGCCGTCGAGTAGGCTCTGGCCGGCCGTTTTTGTGGTGTCTTGTTTACTTGGGTACTTTCCTTTGCTGCTGCTTTGGCCGCTTGCGCCAGGTCTGACTCTATCGATGATGGAAGCCAGAAGAGAGTGACTCTGTTGCCTCGTCTCTGCAGAGCTTGCACGCTGGCATATAGTTGTCGGATCTCTTGTTGGCCTGACTGCTGCCGCGGGTTGTGCATCACCAACACTGCCGCTTTGTTGCGGGTGAAGACGTGGATGGCCCGGTACTCGAGTCTCTCTGGGAGAGACTTGACCGCTTCTGCCAGTGCCGCTAGCTCTGCTACATACGGGTTCTGCTCCG